CTTTCCATTTCGTTTGTTACATAGAGTATGATTAGTAGACATTAATAAATTATCATTATTTAAAAAAAATTGGATAAAGACGTATTTTTTTCTCGATAAAGATAAAATTAACTGAATTCGCAGTTCGCAGTTACTATTTGTTTTTGAGGTACTTCACCTTCTACGGACATCTGGTGGATTTTTTATATACTATGCAGTTTTTGGTGCTATATTTTAAAAGGAGCGGTAACACCTGTGATTCACCGGGACCAGTGCGGTCATTCCTACTAAGTATTCAAACTATGATGCTTTTTCAAAGGTATATTATTTGTTGCCTGTCTTCAATTTGGAATACTTCTCATTAATTGGTCATTGTTTCATAACCATATAGTTTGTAGCATTTTAACTCTTGTATTACTTCACGGAAAACATTCTAAACTTTCTTTTTGATTATTAACTAAATAATCACCTGAAATACATCCTTTCGCTGTTTATTTTGGATCTCACTCAGTTTAATTTGTGTTAGAGTAACCAGTTTTTTTGTGATTTGCAGTTTTTTATGACCAGATACAGTTTGTTCCTTATACGGAATAATATGTCCTCTAAATGGAGTTTGTTATCAATCAATAAAATTATCTTCTCTGGTAATGTATAATCTTTACTTATAGATAATAATAAAGCTATTTTGGATGTTCCAGTTCAGTTTCTTGTAAAATAAATTTATATTCTAATGTCACCGTTATTATATCATAATGATGATGATTAGAGACAACTACATTGCAATTTTAGGCTACAAAGATTTAAAATACTCTACTGCCATATTATTGATAAGCTTTTAGTTACATTTCTCCTTATACCTGTGATGCCAATCTGATATTACAAACACAGAGCACGTGCACTACAATCCAGAAGTCGATCGACCGACCGGCCTTGCCTACACGCTGTGCAAAAAACTGAGCAAATGCAATTTATCAAATAGAAAGAACGATTGCATACCAAAAAATCAATAACTACACGTTCTATAAAACTGTTTCGGGCTGACCTCAAGGATCGGTTTGCTACAATTTATCGGTATGTGTAGTCAGTATGTGATTGATTGCCTAGGGCTTCTTCTACAACTATTGCAGTATTGGTATAACATATAAAACAGTTCTGAGGAAAATTGGATTTGCCAAATATGAACCATTTAATGGTGTACATAACTTTATTATTTCACTTGTTTCTGTCTCTAGTTGTATGAATCTGTTTTAACCGCAACATTTGATTAATTGATAAATCAGTGACCAAGCACTTGACATTATATTCATAACATTAACTAGAGTTGACACCTTTCAGTGGCTAATAGTTTTAAGGTATTTGTTTTTCATATATCTTAATAGAGCTTGGACTATTACAAATCTAATTGGATCATTCTTGCAATGGTCTTTCTATGATCCATTTATGAATGGAATTTTTGATGTAGCTTTGCTAGTTAATGGCTGAGGTTCAGTTCAGGATCGTTCGCGAGGTGATCCTGAAATATGTCATAGTTCATAAAGCTTCCTGACTGCCAGTGCCAATTATAATTTATGTTTTTCTTATATACAGACATAGACAGACAGTATACCTATTTAGAAAACCGTGTCATGTTTCTTTAATAGAGTTTCGACTTTAATAGAATTTATTGCTTATAAGTAAAGTCTATTCTGTTTTTATTGGTTGAAAACTTATTTACAACATTTTTCTTTTGGACGAGCCGCGCCTGATTTTACTTAATACGGAATTTTTCGTAAAAAAATAATCCTTGTTGCAAGCCATGTTCGTGATATATAGGCCAATTACTAATTTTTACATAAACTAGGCTAATTCGTCCTTATAAAATTAGTCAGAGACGACTTTTGATGTTTATATATAACTCCCTATATAAAAATAAATCCCCTTTTAACAATAATTCAGTGAAATATTATTTATTTTCTTAAGTTGTGACACAAATACCGATATATTGAAGTTAAGATTTATTCTTCATATTTTACGGATACCGAAACTTTTCCATAATCATTAATATTTTCTGGATGTCTTCCAAAGAGGACGGAATCACCAAAGTAAACAAATAGAGAATAAAATATATTTCTTGTGGTTGTTATTGGTTGATAGTTTTTCAAAATACACAACGGATGAACTTTTTTGCTGATAAATAAAGACATTTTTTGTTGATATATAGGGCATTGCATCAAATTGGAAGTCTATTTGATATATGAGGAAGTAACCCATACAATAACTCAGTATACAATGTGATCCGGAATTAAATTAGAAAAAGTAGATTAATTTAGTGATACTATATAATAAATTAAAACAAAAGGGATGTGTAAAAAACGGAATTCTACATTGTTTTACAAGACTTAACATAAAATACTTTCTGTAAATAAAATTGAAGACTGTCTTTGTTAACTTTTTTGTCACTATTTAATATTTCTTTGAAAGAAGATATTTTTTTCAGTAATTACATTGGTGTTTTTGGTTAAGTAGTAACTCCACTTCAATACATTTTTGAAATAAATAAAGTATCTCACACAGCAATCACTCTTTATTGATTTTTTTTAATCCTTAATGTTGAAATTTCAGAAGCCATTGTTCGAATTTTACTTATATGATCCTTAATTAAATAGTAAATTTTTAAATTTTTGTGTAATTTAACGACTGAAACCGGAATTGTATTCACTGCAATTTTTTTAACCATATTCCAACAGATAATAATAGGGTGATTAAGTCGTTATGTAGCCATAATTTTTCCTTAATGTATGAAGAGATAGATTTATACTGCTGTCCCATATCTGAAGCCTTTTGATGGCTTTATTGTATCGGCCAATAAAAATAATGATCCAAAGGGATATAAAGTCCACGCTGCCTCATAGTAAAATAAATTGTATGCCATTACCATACGGATTGTTTTATTACCATAAGGATTAAAAAAAGGTTTTTTCTGTCGTCAAACGTTTAACAAATTGATGTTCGTGACCAGAAAAATCTGTTGGTTTATTTTTCAATAATGTTATAATTGAGTATTAAATATTTTTGTATCTTTCATCTATTGGTTATTTTGTTACTACATACAGGGTGAAAAGGATAAGTCAGTAAGTTATTGTTTATGTTTATTTGAATAGCTCACAATGATTTTTAAGTTTTCAGAAATGGGCCCTAAGTCATTCAAATAACATATTGGCATTTGATAAGCTAAAAAGTAGGTTAACTGGAGAAAAACAATTCAATATCTGAAGAGAACGGTACAAGTGGTTGACTCGCAATTTCATGTTTATAGAAAAGGATATAAGTAGACTTATAGTGTTATATGTTCTTTACAAGCTTCAAAACTAGTGTTTACAGCTAAATAGGTACTTTAAAAGAGTTTATTGGTATAGAAGTGAAGAGTTTATTGGTATAGAAGTGAAGAGTTTATTGGTATAGAAGTGAAGAGTTTATTCATGTTTTACCATGTCTAGAGGAAACAAACATTTTTATACTCAAAAGGATATAACTAGACTTATATTTTCTTATTCTGAGATAGTGTTAACATATATTCTTCTTTGCAAGCTTCAAAACTAGTGATTACAGCTAAATAGGTGCCTTAAAAGAGTTTATTGGCATAGAAGTGAAGAGTTTATTGATGTTTTACCATGTCTAGAGGAAACAAACATTTTTATACTCAAAAGAATATAACTAAACTTATATTCTTTTATTCTGAGATAGTGTTAACATATATTCTTTTTTGCAAGCTTCAAAACTAGTGTTTATAGCTAAATAGGTACCTTAAAAGAGTTTATTGGCATAGAAGTGAAGAGTTTATTGACGTTTTACCATGTCTTGAGGAAACAAACATTTTTATACTCAAAAGGATATAAGTAGAATTATATTCTTTTATTCTGAGATAGTGTTAACATATATTCTTCTTTGCAAGCTTCAAAACTCGTGTTTACAGCTAAATAGGTAAATTGAAAAAATTTATTATCATAGAAGTAAAGAGTTTTACCATGTCTATAGGAAACAAACATTTTTATATTCAAACATAGATTAAAAAAGAACAATATCCTTTAATCCTTAGATAGTCTGACATAGTAGCTCTCAGGTGTAGCTGGTTGCTTTTGCTTTTTCTTTTTCAAGTGTAAGGAATCTCAGTCGGCATAGTCCTTCGCAGTAGCACAATACCTGTACTGCAGTTTCCTTCCGTTTCTGATAGAATCAGCAAATGCAGCTTTAGAGCTTTAAATCATAAGGTTCTCAAGCTGCATGGCACTCAATAAAATTTTTGTTATGTATCTATATCAACAAGATATCCATAAAAAAGGTATTTACTAAGGCAACAGAGAACCCTATTATAAGCAAGGACAGGGCTAAGTATTTAAACGTATATAACCAATAGAACAAAAAAAAAGGTTCTTCTAGTAGTTTCTAGATGCCTTATTGTTTCTCTTTTAGGTTGAGGAGCTAAAAAATGTTCTCTAGTAGTTTCTACATGATTTATGTTAATCTTTAGATTAAGGATTGGCTCAAAATTGTTATTAACATGTTCCCCCCACCCAAATTTCTACCTGGAGCCGCCCTTGAGTACAAATTAAAAGTATTGGGTTAATTTCGTAGATATTTTTGTACACTTATATACATATTTTATAAATTTGATTAAAAATGTAGAAAAAGAAAACATAAAATATTAAGAGCAACTGTTTGCCTCCGGAAAACAACTAATTCTTTGGTTAATACCACAACATGCTTTAAACATGCTTGTTTTTAGAAAGTAATAAAAAATATTATTATATAAAAAGAAAATCATCAGAAATAGAATACTCTAGTACAAATCATTTTCTATATCCGCTGGTTTTTTTGGCTATAATTTAATGCCTGTTTTGATATTAGCCAAAGAGTTGCTTATAATATTTTCTAACATATGACTTTCAGATTTTAATTGTTTTTTTCACTTTTGGTTATGAAATTATTCCTTTCCTTTAATTTAATTTAACTTGTTTTTATCATTTTGCTTCTTATTGTTTTAGTGAATCAAAATAATATGGGTGGTATGGGTGGAGACAAAGACGCAAAAAAGAAACACACGAGGCCTACATTTTCCGGTCAACAGATATTTGCGTTAGAAAAAACATTTGAACAAACCAAATATTTAGCCGGCCCTGAACGGGCGAAATTAGCATATGCCTTAGGAATGACTGAATCTCAAGTTAAGGTGAGTTAAATTTTTTTTTTTTTCGAAATTTCATTTCTACTGTCAAAATTAATCGATACACATGGAATAGATGACTGTATTTTGAGGATTGCTTTGAGATTAAAAACAAAGGAATTTGATATCAGAGGTTTATTTTTAAAGCCACTATCAGTTAGTAGGTACATGAGTTCGGATAAGAGGGTGTCCCCCTAGAACCTATCTTTGAGGTCCTCGATAATTAAGTATTTTAAATTAAATAATCTTTTTATGACACAGATGCGATTTACAGCCATTTCAGTAGTTTTGCAAATGCGGCTTCGAATCCTACTAGCGTAGACCTTGTTAATTTTTAATTAATTTGCATGGTGCGCGTTGTAGGATTTGATAGGTGCCATAATAGCAGTAATTTAATTTCTGTTGATATGGCATCCAAATTACAAATAGCAGTGCGTTACCGTCTCTATAATGGTGGGTGTAGTTTTCCTCACTTGTAAGTCAAATCCTTCTCATACAATGCTATAAAAATCTACAATTCTTTACCAGAAGAATTTAAATTATTTAATATTAATAAGTTTAAATAATAATAACCGTCCCTTCCCCACACAAGCTCAGTCAGCTTCCAAGTGGTGAATTGGGGAAAGTATTGTTAATAATATAGTACACATAGTACACATTGCTTGTACACCACAGCAAACCAGCGGTTTAACCCTTGAAATGATCCCTTAAAGAGCAAAGCATTTAATAAATAAAAAAGCTAAAGTGAGGCCTTGCTTCCGAATTACTCGTGGGGGACTTTGATCCTGCCCATTCTAACCCCGCGATATATACTTAAACTTAATCGGATTTATTATTCGGATACCATTCGATATATTGCGGATGCGGCAGCGGACAGGACCCCGGCGCGGCGCGACACTAATCGCCTGGATGACAGTTTCCAATACGCTCGACTTACCGCAACCAAATATTTAACATATTTGTATTAGATTTATAATTGAAAAATTACCATATTTCTTACACTGAGAGAAAATTCACTCTGCGGCGAATCAGTGGTGTGTTTCTTTGCGAAGATTGTTGCGTGTAGTATCATTTTTTTCATTCCATTCGATCCTAATTATTTATTTTGAAAGCGGTAGATCAAAGGTTAAACTGAATCTAAAGCAATCTTGGAACGTGACGTCGCGTTGCTTATATTTGCTTTGTCATTACCAATATTTTATATTATACAACTTTAAATTATTGTACATTTATACCCTCATCTACAAATATTATTTTAACTGAAGGAATACATCTAGACTGAAAATATATTAAATTCTTCAATATAACATAGTATAGGAAAACTATTTTTTTTACAAATAAAGTTACCCACGACGATTATCAAAGCATAACAAAATCAAAAATAGGACCCTCGTATCGTCATTCCCCGTCTATACCAATATTCAAGGTTTTAGAGCAAAGATTTTTCGATTAAATCCTTTTCAATTATGTTTTTTGTCCGAAAAATTAAGTTTTTTCACACATTCGAATAAAAACTGCTATTATTGTGCCTTTTTTCATACAAAATGAATCAAAAAAAAATATTTTCAAATACCAGTCGTTCTTTTTTAAATTTTATCTATTAAATTTTGAGTTTTCAGCAAAACCACTCAGACAAACCGATTATTTAGTTTATTTTCGTGGTTTTCCAATTATTTTCGTGAAAACTAAAAATTTTATCGATTAAATTTGTAGGACTCTTTGTATCACCTTTGATAATATATGATATAATAACTTCAACAATGATCAAAACAATAAAAAATCAATTTACATGTCGAAATTAAGCGATTGGGTTGTAAAAGCTGTGGGCCCCTTACTAAAAAGACCATCAATATATGACTCGTATTTCACGAAGGCTGTAGCGGAGACGACATAAAAAGCTAAGCATTAATTTCTCGAACGGCTGTGGAAGCCCATATTGGTTTATTGAAATTAGGATTTAATTGGCTCTATGAAGATTGAATTATAAATTGAATTATATAAGTTATACGGAGGATACTGTTGGGCAGGCAGAATCTCAATATAGGTCTATCATTTTTTGCCAACATCCTGGCTTATATTCAAATCTCGGTGGCTAGAGATTCAATAAAAATGCAAATTTTGCGAGCAACAAAAGGGGGCATTTACACTTGTCGAAAATCTTCGACACAGAGAATAAAGTTCCCACTTCACAAATCCCTAATACCGCCATAGAGCTGGGACAGTTATTTTCCAGTATAAAGGTATAATTGGTTGGGTACATTTTATGAATTTAAAACAGAATCTAATTTTATACTACAGAACTTGCTAAATAAATTACATTTATTAATAAAAAAATAATAATCCAATTTTAGTCACTATTAGAAATGAGTCCAGGAAAAATTTTTCTGGTTAAGGTTTGGGTTGCCAGATTTACGAAAGTGAAAAGCGTGACAACCATGACGACAGAGCATCAGGTTCAAGTACCAAGCATTTTATATAAATCAGATCCAATAATTGTCAAATTTCTAAAAAAAAAGTTCCTTGACTTGTTTTTAAGCTCCTCGACTTGTTTTTTTTCGTAAACGAGGGTACTTTGGCCGATATTTATCTAAAAAAAAGGTCTTTACCTTATATTTTTCTATAAATCCAATTTTATTTTTTTATTTACGACTTTGAATATTAAAAAAACGTGGCATTTGTATAAAAAGAGTGGCATTTGCATAAAAAGAGTGGCATTTGCATAAAAAAAGTGACATTTTTGTTAAAAGCGGGACATTTTCGTAATGTGGTGTGGAGCGTACAAGCAAGTCAAAAAACGTGGAAAATACGCCAAAAGCGTGACGTCTGGCAACCCTAGTTAAGGTCCTTAGTTAGATATTTAGGGAGTTCAAACGTCATCTTACGACATAGTCTCCTCATTTTCCTTTGCTACATTTCAGAAGCATTCTAGGCAATTGAGGATCTGTTAGGGTTATTCTTCAAATAGACCAGTGTATTTATTATTCTTATGTTTCCTGTATCCTGATACCGAGGCTACTCATATGGCTTCCTTGGGACTCACAATTTGCCTAGTCTTTGTGGTGACTTTTGCAGACTATTCTGACTATCCTTTAATGTTTTATTTAGTTTAGTCCTCGGAATGTTAGTTGAACAAATCATCCACTTCATTATCCTTATGTTCCCTATATTTTGACACAGAGGCTTCCGTGGGACTTACAACTTGCTTAGTCGGTTTTCACCATACCACCGATCTGAAGGTCATCAAATGTCTCTTAAGTAATCCTCATAGGTCTGCTACCATGAGGATCTTTTTTAATTCCGCACAACTTTATACATAAATTGATCCTTTTTGGATGACATTTTTAAACTATCCATGATTTAATATTAGCTTAAGTATTTAACCTTTTGGATAAATGGAATATCCACTATCTTTCACTATTTATTATTATATGACATCTATTAATAATCACACTGACCATGAACATATAGTTTTTTAAATCTAACCGCAAATATATTATTACAAAAGTTATTTGAAATTTATCGTAAAGGGTTTCCAAAGTTATTCCGTTATAAATATCAGCGTAAACCCCAAAAAAATCCCTTCAAGAAAGCACCAGCAAGATTTATTTGATGCTGCATGGAATAAAACCCTCAGGTTTCCTGTTCTTTATCTCGTATCAATCAGATGTGAAAATCCTAATAGCCATGACGATGTTTGTTATAAACAAGTGTCGCCCCCACTGTACTTTGCCGCCCTAATTCAATTTGTCAGAAGATTATATGGCATAGCCGCACACCCTCTCTTAGACAATATATCATAGAGAGTACAGTTGCCCCCATGGTCTCATTGACGGTCGAGACAGTTGCTGCTCGTCAGCGAGGGATATTATTTTTGCGGTAAAATAATTTTAATACTTAAAAATGATTGTTGGCCAAGAAGGGCATGTGGAATTAGTAGGATTTGCAACAGAGGCGACTTTACATACAAATGAATTGATTGTAAAGGAAAATGTGTTTTAAAAGTTAATCTTTAATTATTTTTGATATTTTTGGAATTAGATGAAAATAAGCACTGTCTTTTGGTGTGTTACTGAATTTAATATAACTTTTGTTTTAGTTTTGTATGTCACAATATTGGTAGATACTGGAGGATTCATTATATGCCTCAAGTACTATAGAGGGTGAAAGAACAGCCCGGTAATTGGGCACAATTCCTTAATAAACATGTTGGAAATTTCCAGATTATCTTATCTAGTTAGTTAATGTTCATCTTAAACTTCAAAGCCTCTAAATTTACCTCTAACTCAAGAACTATCACCAAACTTGGGCTTATGACAATAGTTATTCTTTTCTTTTCATGATTTTTATGTTTTAATATAAAATTCTAGGGTCTAGGAGGACACAGTGGCCCCTGCCTGCCCCTCTCTGGGCACGTCCTTGCTGCTTGAACACCTTATACATAATAATGTTTATTTGCAAAATATAAAAAAATACATATTATAAAATAAAAAAGCACAAATATAACATAATTCTATTATCAAAAGTAAATAATTTTACCAATATCTACAATGGTTTGTTACTTAATATTCTAGAATACAACAGCAATAAATTAATTAAATAATAATTTAAAAAATATATAAGGACTGCACTGGAAAATGCAACGGAGCACTCATCTGCTATACTAAAGGATAGACATAGAGGTACAACTCGCTATTTACTTGTCCAATTAGAACGACAAATGCTGGATTAAAACTTCATAGACAAGTTACGATTTATTGCCCCTACTGGTGCTACCATTTAATACATCACACATTTTAAAATCAAATCCTCCACGTTTAGAAGCGGTTAACTTTAAAAAAAAAATATCAAAAACTTTTGGATAGTGTAAATCGAATATGATTGTGGTATTATATTTGTGTTACAATAAATTAATTGTGTTAGACTGACACAAATAGATTTAGATGATTGCAATCCAAAAAGCGAATTCTCATTCATCTTTACATTATTTTTTAAGGATTTGGGGTGAG